TTCTCTGTGCCTGGGGAAGAGAGAGGAGCTCCAGCTCTGGCGGCTCCACCTGTCCTCACCTGGTCCCCTCCAGAACTCAGGACAACGAGCAGTTCTCAGAGTGTGATCTCCTCCGAAGGAGGGAGATGGGGAAGCAGGGGGAGGTGGGTTAAGGAATCAGGGGTCTTACCCATCATGGCTCAGCAGCCCCTTGACTGGGGACCAGAAACCCGAGGCAGCCGTCCCAAGGCTAAAACTGTGTGTTGCGGGGGGGGGGGGGGGGGGGGGGGGGGAGCGGCAGTTCCACATGTAGTAGGAGTATCAAGGGGCAATGTCTACAGGGGCCAGGAGCTAGGGCAGGCCTGGATTACACTCTCTCCTGGGAACCTCGGCAGGAGGGAAGGGGAGCTGGGGTCTCTCCTCCTCCAAGAGCCCTTTTCATCCTACTTCATCAGCTGTCAGTGGCCAAGGTGGAGCTCAGCAGCAGCCCGAGCTTCTGGGGTTCTGGGGCCACCTCCGCCCCCAGGCCTGCTCTACCTCTGCCCTTCTCCAGCCTGAGCGGCCCCTGCCAATACCAGGGATAGCTCTGCTCTGCCCGTTTTCCTGCACCTGGCTTTTCATCACCACTCACTCCGGGACCCTGTGCAGCCTTTCGAGGTCCCTTCCCACTCCAGGAGCTGCCTGATCCTGGCAGCAGGAGGATCCATTTCTCCAAGAAGAAACGGAGCAGCAACCCTAACTCTAATCCTCACCCTCTCGTGCTCCCGCCCCGCCCCCCCAAATTGGGCGCTTCTTTCTAGTCACACCTGGCCAAGAACTCAGGCTAGCACAAGCAATACCTTTCAGGGTAGCAGAGTACCCCCAGCCAGGCTGCTGTCGCCTCCTTGCAAAGCAGTAGCTGAGTGAGGGAACTCCTTTTGCTTTAGGAAGGGACGAGGCTGAGACTGAGGCTCAGACAAGGGGCCGATGGAGAGGTGGGCCCTAGCGAAGGTGAGGGGAATGGCTCTGCGTGGGGAGTCAGACCGGCTGAGGGGGTCTGTGAAGTGACCATTTAAAGCCCCAGCTGCCCCTGTTTCCAGGTGACCTTTGCCCTGGGCTCTAATTCTGTCTCCTCCTTGTGCCTCCACTTCCAGGCATTCTTCTTTATCTCCAGCTGTTAAGGCCTGTCCGTTTCTCTGACATATATGGGATATATAAATATATTCCATCAACTGAGTTAAAAGCCCACGCCTTGAGGCATGAAAACATTCCCACATTCTTGACTTCTGGGGCCGGGGTTGCAGAGTGAGTACGGGCTGGGAGGGATGCGAGGCAAGTCCCAGCTGGTCCATTCCTGCTTCTCTGCCTTCTGTCTCCCTATAGCGACCCTCCCTGATGGCAGAAAACACATCACATGATAACCTCACACGGTCAGAATTTCAAAACCAGTGTGGATCATCCACCAGCACCACCGGGTCTCACGCATGAGTAAACTGAAGCCCACAGAGATGGAGTCTGGGGAGGGGGCCACAGCGCTGGGCCGCACACAGCCGTAAACTCCCCGTGCGATGGGGCACATGCTGTTTTCTGCTCTGGCTCAGGTTGCTCAGCTAAAGAGTCATTTTGATACGAATTAAAAACAGCACTTTAACGCTCTAAAATCAGGGCACGAGGTTGGAGGGGCTCAGGGGCTGTGCCATCTCCTCTGAGAGGCTTGGGCCTGCCTGTTTTGTGACAGTAGCAAGTCACATGGCTGCCCGAAGCTTCAGTTTCCCCATCTGCCAAGTGGGGACCATAGTCCCTCCTCAGAGGATTGCTCCAAAGTGTAAATAAAGCAGTACGTTAGCCCAATACTGGGCATATAACAGGCTTTTGATAAATGATGATTATGATGATTAGGCTTAAGCCTCTTGATGATCGGGATGGCATCGTTATCATTTTATAATCTCCGCCATCTCTAGCAGGGTCGGGCGCGGGTAGGAGTTTAACATGTATGTGATACCCAAAAACAGAAGGTAAATGAATGAATGAGCAAACAAGCCTCATCTTTTCCCGGAGTCTCAGGGTGAGTAAGCGATGTGACTGGGGCCCCGGCCCCGGAGAGGCAGAGTGTGGGCGGCCCCGCGGTCCCAGTTCTGCATGTATAGGATGGTGGTTGGGGCGGCTGTGAGCCGAGGTCTGCTGAAGGCGCTCTGCCACCCCAAGGCATCCCTGCCGGGGTACAGAGATGGTGGTGTGAGAGTCTCCTTTTGGGGGCTGCCTCCAGCCCCAGGATCCCACCCACAGCTCAAGCTCCCAGACAGCTCTCAGCACCGGTCTCCTAGGAGAAAGAAGAGGGTGGGCTGGGAGAAAGGTGGGGTGAGCAGGGGTGAGCTTGTCTGGGCATGTGGTAAGCCCCAAACTGCCCAACGAAGTGGAGGTGTGCATTCTGTGGCCTTTGAAGTGCCCAGACTAGGTTTCCAAGGGCCTACGTGACAGCACCCCACCACCCCTGCCACTCTTCCCCGGGGACCAGTGCCACAGGCTATCTCTCTAAAGGGATGACCTGTTCTGTGAGAAGCCTCCAACCCTGAGCACCAGCTCCTCTACCCTCTGTCTCTGCCTCACTTCAGGCCTTGCCCTGGGGTCCAATAAACTGGGAACGGCTTCGCCCTGCGGAGCAATGCTTTGGCTGAGACCAGGGGCCCTGGACTCTGTGCGCAGCACCCTGACCCTGAGAGAGGCTGAATTTCCCAGGGCAGCTGGCTACTGACTCGGGCTGCTTGGAGAGAGGACTCTCAGGTCCAGAGAAGTCCAGAGACAATGCAGTTGCCCTGTTGGTCCCTCATCACTTCAAGAAAGTTCTGCCAGCTGGCCGTCCCCCTCTCTTTGACCAAGCCAGAGCCGTGTGCAGATATTTTTCTAGAAATCTCTGCCCAGGAGGTGGGGGAAAGGAGAGGAAAGAATGCGGGGGAGGGGTGGCGGCAAAGGAAAGGGAGAACGAGAGGTAAGGAGGAAAGGAGGAGAAGAGAAAGGGGGCCTTAAGGGTCCTTGAATGATCCCAGACTTTGTGGAGGACGTGGAGCTTTGGGAGGTGGGGGAATTCTCCTCCTCTGGTTATAAAAAGTCAAGGCCAGAGGCTCCTTAGATATCATCCAGGTCAACTACCTGATTTTCCTGAGAACCCCGAGGGGGCGGGAACCCAGTTCCAGAATGCACTCCAGCGCCTTTTGTATCCCTTCCTTTCTCGTGTTGTTGGATGTCCGGGTACCAAAAAGGCTCCGGGGCTAGGGCAAAGGGGTGCAGGGGTGCTCTGCAGGGCGTGGCCTGGAGCCCTGCAAGGGGAGCCCAGAGTGCAGGTGAGGGCCAGGCCCCATCCTGGGAAGCCCCACACAATCCTTTCACCTGGGCCCAAAGCAGCTACAGCCTGAAACTCGTGTCTGGTTACTGACACGCAGCAATGCCCAAGGCAGGGTCCAAGTTCAGACTAAGCTGATTTTGACAAGAACACTGAGCCCGCTAAATGTTTACTAAACAAACCCTGTCCTCTTCTCAGTTTTTAAGATTTCCTATTCCATGCCATGCATTCCTTCATCCGGAAGCAGTAAACAATAATACACGCTCACAGTGGACCACGTCTGAGGGTCAACAAAAATCTTTCCCATCCCTAACATGGGTTATTATCCCTGTGAGCTCTAGCAGGACCAGCTCCCAAGGGGAGGAAGAAGGAGGGGACTGGGGGCTTCTGGACACACATGGCCCCTGGCCTCCCTCTCAGCCTCCTCCCTGCCCCCTCTAGAACACCGCAGCCACATGGAAAGCCATGGGGAACAGTTGGGGCTTTTTATAATCTTTATTTGTTAACAGTTCAGGCTATTTTTTTCCATGCTTCAAGAGATGCCAATGCCTCTTGAAAAAGTTGTGAAAAAAAACAAGTCTATTTTGGGGTGATCAGCCTCCTCAGAGCTTCTCACTTGCAGCTCTGCGGGGCTCCAGGAATGAGCCTGTCCTCTCAGAAGATCTGCAGCCTGCTTGAAGGGAAGGATCTTGGGCCTTGGGTGCACTGGCTAGGGAGTGCATTTTCACCCCCCCACTTGTAACGTTTCTGTCTACAAAATGCGGCAGAAGTAACACCATGTAGCTTCTTTCTGCTGGAGGCCTGCCTGGTGGTGGCTTCTTGTGCACTGTCCTGAGAAATAACAGCCCAAGACACTTGGGGTGGATCATGCACTTCCCCTGTGACATTAATGGCGGTGGTACTTGCAGCTCTTAAAAGCCATAAGCCAAAAAGTGCTCCAGTCTCTCCGCTGAGCAGAGAGCTGCAGGATTTACTGCATGGAGGCCTCAGCCAGCTGTGGTTCCGTGGGAGGCAGGGCCAGGGTGGAGGGGCGTGCGTGGATGGGCAGAGGGGTCTGCATGCTCAGATC